AATGACCGATGCTGCACATATGCATCACTATTCAGCTTTGATACGGTTTACATGGAACAAGTTTATGAATGAACCATTCAAGGTTTTTGTAGGCCCCAACATACGCGTGCCGCTATTCCAAGCCTTACTTTCGCGTAGAAGGTAGTATCATCGCCAAGACGCGCTCTGCCACCAGCCGTGGACGCACAACAATTTGGTTGCCGCTTTGGAACTGAAATAGGCCTAAAGAGTAAATAATTAAATTGACTCAGATTAGGGCAATCATGTGCTAAAAGGGCGCATGCTATGAAGTGATTTAAAAACATTATTTTCATCCCGATTTTGAGAGAAAAAATGTGGGTCTTCGTTTTTCTGGTCTTCGGTCTTCGTTTTGTAGACACCCTTATAGGGTGTCTATAAAACGAAGACCCTTAAGCATTTCTTGATATTCCTCATTTTATTCCGATAAAATAATGAAGTAGGTACCTGGCAACTGTTTTATGATGATTTTGAAATATTTTCAATAAGATAATTGAGAAATAATTGGAAGTCTTCGTTTTTCGGGTCTTCCGTCTTCGGTTTGTAGACACCCATATAAGGTGTCGTCACTAAAACGAAGACCCTTGAAAATTTCACAAACATACGCCCAAAAAAATTCGTAATTTTGATTTTGTGACAGCTTGGTGTATTATGATCAAAATACAAGAGAAAAAATAGGGGTGTTCGTTTTTGGGTCTTGGGTCTTCGTTTTATAGACACCCGGTGTACATGGTATAGACAGTTCCTGTGGTGGGCGACGAGAGCTGCTTGTACCGGGTTACCGGGTAGCACAGACACGAAGGGACCCTTAGGGGTGAAGGAAGTCTTTGATCGAGCTACTAGTTTACACTTCAAGCGCAATTATTATTATTATTATTATTATTATTATCATTATTATACAAATGTACACTATGTTTATTATTATTAATGGTGATGTGATGGGCTCTAATAATAGAAATAAGTTTTTTTTAAATATATTTTAATACTTTCTTGGTTTACCCTAGGAATTATGTCTCATTTATTATTCTTAATCATCTATTTGTGTTTTGTTTTTGTTTTTTATTCAAGTTATATGTGATTTAATTCCTGAATAAAATGAAATAAAATGATGATACATTTGATTATAATTGAGAAATTTGTTGGCGCTTCATTTTGACTATATAATGGTGATGTGGTGATAAATTTTACTACATAAAAGTGTCTGGGCATCTAAAGGTACCTCAGCCCTAACCATGGTTAAGATTGAGTACCGGTAACGATGTGAAATCGAGTACAGTTACTATGGAGGACGATAAATATAAATAACAACAATCAAAATATTAATTTATTGAATTCTCGTTCTATAAACGAGTTTGTTTTAATCTTCACAACCGGTAAATTACCTACACTATTATTTATTATTTTAATGTATCAATTACTCTATAAAGACTGTATAAATATCTTCTTTTTTTAAATGTTTTGTCACTGAACAGGAAAATCAACAGAAAATTAAGTCGGTGGTGTACTGTACTGTATGACTGATTTTTTTTTTATTCAAACGGGAGTGGGGGTGCTTATTCGCACGAGTGGTACAATACTCAAGAACTCCGAAATCGAGAAAATAGATGATCGGGTGCGGTTTTTTTCCGTACGAAACATAAGTTGGGAAAACCTTGGATGTTGAGGGCGTCCTAACAATAACAAAAATGGCTGCGCCTATAATATACTGTAGTCCACCGGATCGTGTTAAGTTATAATTATTAATATGTATACATTATCCAATATTTTAGGCGGTAGCTGTTAACAGTATCAGTGGCAGTAACTGCTGGTTAGCATTACTGTGTTTCTCAAGTGGCAAATATTAATGTGTCCGTTCTGGTTGGTAAGCATTTAGTTAGACCCGATAACAACTTAACAAGCACATAAGCTTGCTTTGGTGTAAAACTTAACTGAGGTTAAATGTAAATTTACACAGTACAGTAACACTGGCAGAGATAACGTTATAATAGAATAATTATGGCAATATGTGAAGTTTAATTGAAACTGATTGGTTTGATGGAACATGTTGGTTGTTCCAGTTTCTTTCCTTGCCGATTCTTTTCTTATAATATATTCTTATTGTTGGTGATGAATAAAGAAAGCAACTTGACAAGGCGTTTTATGGTTTTTATTATGGTGTCAAACCAAACCATACACCCACAACGAATACTACAGTAACATGCATTCTGAATTAATTTGATCTACTGGAGTACATGCAACTCCAATAATGCTGAAGAAAATGCTGAAGACAATGAAAGTTTCTACAATCAGTCGCTATAAGTCAAGCCATACACCCAGTGATGATCAGCAAGACGATCCTCTTCCATCCCACTCCAATCCTTCTGTGAAGCAGCAACATCAACAAAAACAACAGAAGTTTGAGAACCCTGTTACAGAGAGGATACTTAACTATCTTGAATGACAGTAAGCAAGAAAAAAAGGGATGCTTTGAATTTATTTTTTAATCTTCGTTAAAAATATTAAAATGAAAATAAACAAATAATCAATGAAATTGAACCTAAAATGACTATCATTTCAGTTCTTAAAATATTCAGTGTAGAATGAAAATTACAAATTATTGCAAAGAAATGTATTTTTTAATGGAGACTTTGTGATTTTTTCATCAGGAAAAATAATTTGCAAATTAAAAGTCTCTGAAACATGATCCGTTCAGTAATCCATTCTTATGGTTTGGCTTGCTCTCCTTAAGACAGGGACAAGAATTGCAGTCTTTAAACATGTTGGGAAGTCCCCAGTTTCAAAAATTAAAGCCCCATTCCCGGCAACATTTCAGTTTTTAAGAAAAATCTAATTTTTGTATAATGTTATAATGATTTATAAATATAATACGGAATTGCTAGTTTAACTGAATTTAGACATTCCTAAGAATGAAAAAAATGTAAAATAAGACTGAAATTTGATTTTTTTTGTGTTCCACACAAAAAATTTTACAAAAAATGCGGATGAATTTTTCATGTTGATTTTGCGATAGTTCGTGAGAAGAAATATCGTAGGCGCCGAAAACATTAGCCTATCCAACGCTGCTAGGCTAGGCCTAGCCTTACCTCGATTTAGGTTCTGTTATCACACATAAAAACGGCCGACATGATATTTTCCGTTGCTAGTATTGACACTTGTGAATATGATATTTCACAGGAATTATTTCAAATTTGTTAAAAAAACTGATTCTGACTGAGATTTTGACACTTAAACAAACATATCTCAGCCTAACCGAACGACCGCATTGTGCGAGATGCGAAGTACAAAAACTAATCTCATTAGAGAGGGCGCACTTTATTGACTGTATAAAGTATACATAAAAGCGAGAGTATTCCAGTGGATGCGATCTACAACCTCTGAATTTGCTTAGTAACGATGAATTCGTCGAGAAAATGGTAATATTTTATGAGAAATAGTCTGTATTTCTCATTTTTTTTATTCTTTTGCGTAAAACTAAAATTCATGTCAATATTTTTCCATGATTTATAATAATTGGAGTAATGCAAATGCATATTTTCTAAAAAAAGTCAATTTTTAGTGAAATTTTGCCGGGAATGGGGCTTTAAATTCCAGTTCAAATCCGATATGAATGTAGCTTTAGATGGAGAATGATACAAAACCTTCACGATTTCGACTTTGCCGATAACGTAGCCATGTTTTCTTCCAGTCAGTCTCAGATACAAACCGATAAACCGTATACAACCAGATCGAACCACCTCACGACCATAAAGTTGACCGATAACATTACATTAGTTATATTGAAGAAATATACTTATAGTGAGTACACAGAACATCGTACTTTAATAATGTTATTGTATTAAGAGTCGAAGTGTCTAAAACAGATATTCAATAAACACAAAAAAAAACCCCCATCAACCCTAACAGGAATAAATAGGTAAATGCAGCAGATGCAGCATATATCGTCTTTGCTGAGTAAACAATAAAAGATAAAAGAGCAGATTAGACTGAAGACAGAACATGTTGACGAATGAACTGCAGCAAAGATTGTTAGTTTCTATTTCTACTTGGGTTGCCTCTGTTGAGGACTATTTCTTCGAAGTCTTTGTACGTTGTTTGTTTTTCATTTTTTGCTAGTCAGTTATTTTTGTGGTTCGTCGATCATTGCATATGATTTGTGTTATTTCATGAAGTGTTTTCATTGGTCCATTTCTGAAGTTCTTTTGCGTCATTAGGTCCATTTCTGATGTTCTTTTGCGTCATAAGCTAAGCTCCATATCTTTAAACTGCTAAGTTCTAATGGGATACGGACACAAAGAGAATTCAAGTGTGTTAATTTTCAGTGCTTGTTAACAACTACTCTTGCTTGACAACTTCAATCTCAGTACATGACAATGCTGAGTTGCATTTCAGATCCTAAATTAAAACCAAACAATAATAGTCCAATAACTTTTATTGATATCTGGCACAACCATGATAGAGTCAAAATACACAAAAGTCTAAATTAAACAAAGCGAATTATGAGCGAATGTGGAACGTCTTCCTCATATATAACGACATAGTTGTTTCCATATGTACATGTTATTTTTTATATCATTGTCTATAAACGGATTCTCTTTTAAAAGTCATTTTTAATATATATGTATATATATATATATATATATATATATATATATTCCAAACGCACTGATTAAATACAATACTATTTTACGTTACTGAATGCAGGTAACTTCAAAATATTTACTCTTGAATGTACGCATTATGAATATACTGTACAGTGCAAACACATTACGAACATAAAAATCACAACGTATAATATTATTATTTGACATTAAAACTAAACACCAAAAGGGGTCGAATTCGAATTATTGTCAAGCATTCAGGAATTTGAAATAGATGAGTCTGGAAAGGAAAGATACCGATGGATGGTCTGGATTAGCATCAGCATCAGCTTCCATGATTTCAGAACAGCTCATAATATTCCAAAATTTCCCAGTTTTTTTTTTGGAACCCGAGGCACGAACCCTGAACCCTTTTTTCCACCGCTGAAAGTTGTCGGACCTCTGTTGATAAAGTTCATTCATTTCCCCCTCCCGGAATGCATATAAAACAAAAGCATATTACTTTTTTTCTGCCAATCTTTTCAACTGACATATTAGCTAAGTAAGCTAATGCTCAGACCATTTTTATTATATATATTATTTTAAGGTTCATTTACCAATACTTCTTGACTCGTTTTCACATAAGTGTGCACAATATCTTTTTTGGGGCGTATTGTCAGCCGGTTTAGTACAAAAATTAATAATAAACACACTAACACACACACACCAATATATATAGCTATCCTTATATATATCAAAGAGTGTTTCACATGAGTCGGCGATGGGGTCGTTTGATAATAGGGGGAAGTACTTGCTGTCGTCGTCGTCGCCATCATTAGTTCTTCAACATATTCTGCTGTTGTGGTAGCTGGTAACGTTATAGCCTCTGCAATTTCAAAAACAAAAATATATTTCATATGCTGCCTGTGGGTAAGTCCATAAAGACCTTTAAAAATCTTATTTTACAATCATCCAAAATATTATAAACTATAAAATGAAAAACAGATCGAAAGTTTTGCTGATTTACAGACATTTTACTTAAACTAAAAGTTTAAATGAAATTTATATAGGCCTGAAATATATAGGCCTACAACACAAGCCTCAGATGATATCTGACGATCATTTCACTACTTCCATTCTTACCGGAAATGTTAAGAAAGCCTTTACAGAATTCCCTGGCATCCGGAGGGCAACGTCCAACCTAGGAAACAACAGAAAGTAAAACTGAATTTATTTAAAACATCTTTAGGCAGGATAACATATACAGGCGAGATCTTACCGCTGTTTTACAATATGGTCCTGCAAACACATATTACAATAACAACAACAAAAGTAACCATCACAGTACAACAAAATAAAGCAGTTAAAACTTTGGTGGAAAACTATCCCCCGCCGGACACCAACCCGGTACTTCTGAGTCAAGGTTTCGGGGCCAGGAATTACAGCTCAAGGTTATGCTTATCTACAACTTAACTACAATATGCCTTCTTGTCTGCCGTATAGTTTTTCAGTATTATAAGTACTAGAGGGTACTTAGCCTCTAGTATGTTAAACATTGCGATTAGTTTTAATAAAAATAAATAAAATTTCTTTTAGAAATGATATATTTGTGACATGTTGAAGATAGTATTGTAGATCGGAATAGGAATTTTCTACATAGATTATTAGACACTTATGCTGCAACTATTATAACATATACCGTACTACAGGGCTCTATAGGTCGTACGGTCTGAGCCTCGCTGTCACAAAGTGATTAATTAGGAGAGGGACAGCTAATCACATAGAAAAGGCCATGTAAAATAATAGAGTTGTTGATCATTTCAACTTGATGTAATGTTTGATCAGGTGGAATCTATACGCTCTAACAACTCTTTCTACAAACAAATGAAAGACAAAATAATTACACAAAAAAAACAAAAAAAAAAACAACATAGACCTAGCCGAAGTTGAATTATGGGAAAAAAGACAATATTATTTTCGTGAGTTTTGGCAAAAAAATGGTCGGGTGATTGTTTATGTAAGGAGGGGACGATCAACCGCTTTTTTTCACATGGCCTTATAGTGAGTCAAACCTCATGATGCGTGAATGCGTAAACAATGCAATGTGCTCAAAAAAGCTAAAGGTCTAGTAAATAAAGAGAGTAAAATCATTATTTTCCCTCAATTAAACTGAAATATGGAATTATATTCACTTCGTTAGATGGAGACTTTGATGATTTATGTTGTTACAGTTTTTCAGACGGGTAGGTTTCGCATCCTAGACGTTATTTGACGATTGGGTTATACTACTGTGATTGTATGCTTTGAAATAAGCTTAATAAAGATACCAATAACTGTATCCTCCAAAATAGAAGCATTACAAAATAAATCAAAATAACAATATTAAACATCAAAATACTGTCCAGAATGACCAAAAAATAATACTGGACTTGTGGCAATCCCATGTACCACCTATAAAACGTTTACTAAAGTAATTTAAATAATGAATGAATTCTTGCGGCGTGTGTTCTTTTGTAGTGACAACTCCTCGTTCAATAGTTTTAAATTTTTGTTAGTGTAAAAATTTTATTTTTCGATATTTTAGTAGAGTTCAACTCAAAAATTTCCTTAATGATAAGAGGGTTGTGCTACGATATATTTTCTTGAGATTTGTGCAGTTGTCTGAGCGGTAAATCGTAACAAACATTTATTGCTTACTCAAAATTAGTATAATTATAATACTGTAGCACACATTTTCTTACTTACACAAGCTTCCACCGATCCAACTAATGCGTTTTCATACATCGTGGAGTTCTGTAATAATGTTAAACAAAATAAACACATTAAAATGCCTAAATATTAATTAATTGAACGATAATACACAAATCTAAGAGCAGGGAAAATATTAATAAATATTGTTTTCTTTGTTTCACAGAGGCAATATTAATAAACACAGGGGCAAGATTATTAAATACTTTTTTGTTTGTTTCCCAGAGGTCCCAGAGGCACTTTCCCGCATTCTGAGAGGTCTGTTAGTGATTCAAAAATCAACTGAACAATAACGCCCATGGGTGCTTATTAGAATAAATGCGGTATATTATAATTATTGTATTTATATATAAATTTTACTTAATTATCTAATAATGCCAGATAATATAAAAACAAAGGTATGATTACCAATCAAATTACAACAAATCAATGCATTCAGGGTGTGGTGAAATTATGGGAAAGGTAGGCAGGCCTACCTTTCCATTTTTATTTTTATTTTTATTTTTATGCCATTTTTAGGGAGTCTGTACTGATAAGTTCACAAGTTGTGGTTATGGTTATCCTCAATAATAAATAATGATAAAGTTCTTAACCGTTCTGAAATCGACAGAACAAGTGGTTGTCATTGACTATCAGAGTAGTTGACAAGCTTCAACTGTGCAAAACTAAAGGAGAACTTTAGAGAAAAGACAAAAGTAGGCGACAAAAGTAGATGACATAATTAATGTCGAAATATTGAATCCCGACACGATGGCGTGCATTTCGATATTTGGAGTATGTATTATACTATCTTATCTGAGAGTAATCAGTCGACCTTTCGGTTTTTAAGAAAACTTACCGTCTCAGCCTTATCAAATATTAGCTTACACTATATTTCATTTTCAAGTTCTTTGTTTTTTTGTTTTCTTTTTTAATATTATCTTACCGTATATTTACTTATATTCTCTTTCAATTTCATTCCGTGTTTCCTTAACTTTCCATGATTCCTATTTACCAACCTTTTCTTTATTTGGTCTCACTTTATCCTTCACTTTATCCTTATATTTTTTTTCCCTTTCCGCTTTCTTTCTAATACTTCCTTAGGCATTATTTCTTTAGCTTTTGATTACCCTTATAATGTTTCCTATCTTTCTTCTTTTTCTTTATTTCCTTGATTTTTCTTTTTACTTTATTTTTTTTCCTTTCCTTTTCATTTCTTATGCTTTTTCATATATCTCATTTTTATCTTATCTTATCGTTTATCTTATCGTATCTTAACTAAAGTATACATTAACCCCATACTATTTTCGATATATGTTGCACCTGTTGCATCAACCTATACTGCACGTTATGGTTATTGAAATGACTTACACAAGATATTTCAATAACCATAGTATGCCATACTATTTTAATTATCTTCATTTATTATCTATTTATTAATCTATCATTATAAATCTAAGAACAATAACATCAATTATTATCGAACGTGATTAAACCTGCAGGTGGGTACGATTCCTATATTCAACCCGCCTCTCTTCGTCGGTCGCCCTCTCCTGTTCCTGTTGGCTTCGAGTTGGCGAGGCCTTGTCGCGGCTCATATTAGACTCATGATTAACCATGGATATGATCGGGCCGGGTTGAATTAAGTCACTTTTTGATTGAAGGAAATGGTTTGATTTTAGTATTACTCGATAAGAAGGTCATATGAACATCATAATTTATATTAAAATATTGTCATTGTCACTTTTACGGACTTGTAGCGTGTTTTAAGGTACCTCGCACTTTTGGTACAATACTTCCGCTATACTTCGTCCTTCCTCGCATGAATTGCGTGGTCACGAGGGTAGGGCTTGCATGCATCGTTGTCTCGCAGTTGTCAATACTCGCCTAATGTGAGAGACGCGAGTCCATGGCTAGGCAGACAACAACGTCCTGGTCGGGATTTTTATTAAGTTGAAAATGAAAGACTAAGCATTACCTTGAATTAATAGCAAATAGGTGAAGGGTCAGTTTGAGCTAATGCTCATACTTACCCTTTGTATTCCTTGTAATGCGCATTTTTCTGGTTGTGTATCATTTGTCAAATCTCTTACCCCGACCGTACGACTTTCCAAACAAGCTGGAAATGGTTCAAAATTTACTAAAGCAGATGGATTTATGAAAACTAGCACTTCAACTTGTGTTCCTGAAAGACATAATGCGTTTGTAAAACTGATCTTGTAAACTGTAATGGTTGGTTAATTTTCCAGCTTTCCAATCTAAGATGCATAAGTTTTAATTCAGGTTTACATTGCCACAATCAGTCTATAGAGCATTCGGCCTATAATTATGAGCTGTCTATAATTATATAATATTGCTATTACAGACGTCAAATCAATTTGCTCTCTGTAGGCCTAGTTTTATTTTTTTAAGCCTGCTCTAAGGTGCCGATAATTAAGTCAATCAATCAATCAATCAATCAATCAATCAATCAAAGTGGATTTCTCCTATAGATGAGGTCATTATAGACTAACTTTCTTTCCTAAAATGTAAATCCTTTAAAATGTATTTTTCTAATAAACATGCCTCATTTTACAATCCAAAAAATTACTAAAAAATAAAACACGGATCGAAAGCTTCGCTGAATTACAAACATTTTACTTTCGAAAATTGATTACAAGCCAATTTCGAGGTTTATGCATCTGCATGAGCAGGGAGAAGCCCATCAACACCATTTGGAAGTTTATATATTAACATGGGCGAAATAATGACTAACAGTTTAAATCAGAGATGATAACTGAAAATGATTTTACTTCTATGCTTACCGGGAATGAAAAATCCTTTACAGACGTCACCCGGAGGACAACTTCCAACCTGGGAAATAACAGAAAGTAAAGTCTGTCTTATTATTATAAGAGTACTAATAACAATTTTATCCTCCAAAAGAGAAGGAGAACAAAATAAATGAAAATGTCAATAATTAACATCAAAATACTTTTTAAACACTGTCCAGAATGAGTGAAAACATACAAAGGGACTTGTAGCAAGTCTATGTACTAACTAACGTATGTGATTTGAATAATGAATTATGGCGGCGTGTGTTCTTTTGTAGTGTGACAACTCCTCGTTTAATTGTTTGTAGATTTGTGTTAGTGTAAAAATGTTATTTTACCACACTTTAATAAAGTTAAACTCAAAAATGCCTTTAATGGTAAGACGCCTAAAAGTGTGGTGCTACAATATATTTTTTTTCCGATCTGTTCAGTCGTTTGGGCGGTAATTCGTAACAAACATTTATTGCTTACTCAAAATCAGTATAATGATACTGTAGCACACACTTTACTTACACAAGTTTTCCACGATCCAGCTGTTGCGTTTTCATACATCGTGGAGTTCTGAAATAATGTTAAACAAAATAAACACATTAAAAATGCCTAAATATTAATTAACTGAACGATAATACAGTAAATCTAAGAGGAAGGGACAATATTAATAAATACTGTTTTCTTTGTTTCCCAGAGGCCTGGGAATGCACTTTCCCGCATTCTGGGGTCTGTTAGTGATTTTATATTTATTTGTTTTAAGCGACACGGTTTGAGTAATTGGGCCTAATTCGAGAGACGTAAGTCTATGGCTAGGCTGGTGGTAGACAGGCAACGACGTCCTGGTCGGGGTTGTGTTTCTGTTAGTTGAAAAAGAAAGACTAATAATTTACCTTGAATCAAATTGTCTTATAGTAGAAAATTTAGTTTGAGCTAATATTCATACTTACCACTAGTAATGCATGAAACCTGTATTTTTGTGGTTGTGTATCATTAGTAGGAATTCTTGACCTGTCAATACCTGGAATTATCTCAAATTGTACTAAAACAGATCGATTTGAAAAAACTTCCAGTTCAACTTGGGTTTCTGAAAGACATAACGTGTTTGTAAAACTGATAATCTTGTAAGCTTTTAGTTGGTTAATTTTCAAACTTTCCATTCTCAGATGCGTAGGTTGTAATCCAGAGCTGAAAGTGGTTCTAAGTGGCTATATGTCTATCAATCAATCCGTTATAGAACATTGCTCTACTCTACAGACATCAAATCTTTTGCTTTTTTGAATAGCTGATTTTTTTAAGACACAAAAGAGTGTTTAATGAGATACAAATTTTAAATATTTAAACACTGAGGGATGGAAAAGGGTTGTTACTTTCATTTCCCTCAGTTTTTAAATATTCAAAAATGCGTATGTCTTTAACCGTTTCCAAGTTTTTCGTCTAACTCCCCATTTGTGTCTTAGCGAAATCAGTTGTACAGCATATAAATTTTTCTCCCGGAGCCTGGCTGTAAGAAGAGGGTGTTCAACAAGCCAAAATCAGCACAGCATGGTGAAATTTAATAATTCTCAAAGTAAAAAAGAATGTTTATGCTTTGAAGTATGGGGCAGTATAGACAGGTTGATTCTGTTTTAAGATACAGAACAGGATTTAACAGGTTTTTTTTTTTTTTATCAAACACTCCTTTTGTGTCTTACGAAATCAGTTGTACAACGTATCAATAATAAAAAAAAAACAATTCCTCCGGAGACTGGCTGTAAGAAGAAAGTGTTGAACAAGTTGAAATCAGCACAACATAGTGAAATTCAATAATTCTCAAAGTTATGCTGTTTTACTATGAAGTAGATGGATTCTGTTGATACAGAACAGGATTTCGGTAATATTTTCAACAATAATAACAGAGTATTAGTACAAAAGGAGACACGAATAAAGGTTCAAAGTGTCACACGCAGAGCGATATGGTTAAAATCATAGTTGACTAGAGAACATAAAAAAAATATGAAAATAATAATTGGAAAGGCAATTAATTTTATTTTATACAATTTATCTTATATACGTTATTTAAATTTGTTATACAATTGAATTAGTAATCAATTAATAGGCCTAATTAGACGGAAGGGATTGTTCCAAGAAATCGAGTCTTACCAGAATTTAAAATTAATAGGAATGTTGCACATTTTTATGGATCCGTCTTAATACATTGAAACCTGGTTTAGGAATTCTCAAGTTCAAAATTATGTAGTTGCATGAAATTGAGCCAATTTTAGACCCATAGAACTACATAGGCCTATTTTCCTACATCCACAACAATGAGTTTTTTTAGTAGGAAGTACTAGTAGATTGTGGTAGAAAGACTTGTTTCTATGTTAAAATACTGAACAGGATTCGTTAACATTGTCGAATGATAAAAGAATTACTGGTTTCTTAGTATTCTGAAGTTCGTTTGTAGACCCGTAGGCCTATATATTATTGGCCAACATCTGGGACAATTAGTTTTAACATCATTTTGGTTAGATTTAGTGATAAATTGATAAATTATTGTAAGAACTAAGAGAAATTTAGCCATCAATATCTAAATGTTATCAGGCTGATTTTACATTAAAGTAGTATAAATTATACTGCAGTTTGGAACAAACCATTATACTAATTGGGCCAAACTTACATAATAGGCAGTTTTCGCCACACGACGTTAACCATAACGTTAACAGATGACGTCATCATTTATTCATCTTGCGTTGCGGAGTACGTTAATTTCAGGATTTTACATGCTCGACGTACGTTAGTTACGGGTTTGCGCATGCGTATTTCGATTTGTTTACAAAAGGGGCGGAGCTATCGCATTGTATGTTGGTTGCTAACGTTAAAGTTAAGGTTAAAGCCGTGCGGCGAAATCTACCTATTCTTGGATGCAAGGCCGTTAAATGGTAGGCCTACATTAAAATTGTGAGGTGCCATAGCCATAACAATTTCGTACCTCACCCCAACCATGGTGGGGTTCAGGTGGTATAGACCGTAAAAATTCAAGGGTGGGTTTAGAGGGGATAAACAAGCTTTAGCGCACCTAATATTTAACCGACATGCATGTTTTTTATGACTTTTGGTCTAAATTAAAACGTTTATAACCTCGGAAAAAGGTAAATTTATCACCCAAGTCCGCATAATGAGGGGACTTTTCTCCCATGGTGTTGATTTAAACGGTCTAACAGTTTTTGTAACGCCTCCTAACCAGCTCTAACGAAAATTCTGTATCTGCCCCTAAAATTAATCTCTGATTAAAGTATCTTTCGTTTTTGTATCCTTTAGACCAGTCCCTAGATAGTCGTATCAGCAAACTTAATACATACAACAGCTAAACAACACTAAAATATAACAACGGAACTTAAATACATTATATTTTATTCAGAAGTATTTTTTAATGTAATGTTTTAACTTAATAAAAGTACTTGCAATGTCCTAATTAACAAATGATCGTAGGCCGATGCAAATCACACACGTCGCAAGTTGTGCCTAATTAAGACCGGTATTAAGCACAGAGAATATTTGTTTAAACGTAAATATTATTGTACACAATACATTACTCACAAGTCATTAATAGAATATTCATATGAAGACTCAGATGTAGCTCAGTGGTTAAGATGCTTGCAGCCTTTCAATTCCTGGGTCCTGGGTTCAAATCGCAGCACATAATAATTTCTCACGACTAAAAAAATCTTCACTCCCTAAGCGTCGCGATGGGTCTTTGCTGATAAAGCATCACATTATTTAAGTTATTTAGGGTACCCGAATATCAGCTGACATTCTAGGATACGCGGGAAGGGTCACCCTCTATAAGTTTTAAAAAACCCACGATCGACAATTTTCATTCAATTATGTACAACCCTTCTCTTAGTAAAAATCCTATCAGTGTGCTTTTAATCCGCACTATTTAATACCATTAATTATTTGACTGGGTCTGCTTTAGAAAATTAGTACAATGCAACATACAAATTTAAAGAAAAAACGAAATCTAAATGTTGTTCGAAAAATATGGTGTTGGACCCACTGTAGGCCTGTAAAATAAGAAAATTTAAACCTAAAACAACTCGGTAAGAACAATAGCTGGCTACCTTCACATGCTTGAATGCCAACAAGAGCGGTGGCCGTTAATACTAGCATACCATAGCTTAACATCTTGGAATCGTCAACATCAGCACCAATAACAGCAATATCCTTACGATACAGGCCGTTCTGTTATGACGAGATACTAAGTAGTACAGGCCTATATTATTAGGAACATATAAACAGGAAGTTAAAATCTCTTTAACACATTATTTAAATGCGTCATCTAATAACGTAAAACGTCAAATCTTTCCGTGAACTCCGGTACAGAAAGAAAATTAATCAAAACCTTAGCCCTTATGGGGGCCACTAAATGATTAAACATCAGGCTTATTTTTTATTTTCTTTATACATAATGTTTTTGGGAAATAGTATTGATAAGGTAATCAAATCGTAAAAGAATGACACGTGTGTTTGTGTTTATGTGCTACAGATTATATCTAACTTTTGAACAAACAATTGACGAACACTGTCCCGTTAATGACCATTAATAATATAGTTAGAGCTCAAACAAAATTTAACATCACTATTGTTTTTATATTCCCTTATTATCATCATGGTATCATATTCCTCCATTGCATGAACTGTCTAAATGAACATGCTTGCTGTTTTTAACATTAAGAGATATTTTAAGCATTATGAACGTACTCAATTCATTTACATAAGTTCATTTACAACCATTATGTAAAAAAATCCGCAAAAACATTAATTTTTTTATTTTTTAGTGCAGTAGAGAGCACCATGCCTACTACTTTGATAGTCTCAGAATGCCGTTTCCGGGCATCCAATCTAACCTCTTCCCCATATAAAGATTTCAAGACTGGCGTGGCTTACGCCAGGCGTAAGCTAGTCCACGGATTAAAATTCCAAAGTGTTCACACAAACGGCGTTCGTTAAACTAGCAGTAATATAGGCCTATGTGGAGTGGAATAGTTTTCAGTTTTAAATAATGTACGGTACGTGTTAACAGTAGTAAAATTAACAGTGCATCTTGAAAACTTTTGAATCTGTGAATTGTTCGAATTGAACTTATATGATTATTGTATTTTAAATGAACAATTTTACTTTTGATTTTTCAGCTAGCATTGTTGATGTTGCATGTTTTAATAGACAGTCTAAATGGTTAAAATATCTTACAAAACACAATCAATAAATCATATACATTATAACTAAGTAAAATGCAATAGAAAAGGAACCCCTTTACCATTTCATTTATAGAGAGCACAGAAAAGAGACCAAAGTAGCTAATATATTGCACATACCTGTCTCTTATACACATCTTATAGCTTAAAAAGCTGACACAAACAATTTATTTGTTGATGAACGTTGCAGTTGTAATGATATCAGATGACTGGTATTTCTGGGCTTGGGTGAAGATTAATACAAGTATCTAGATTTTCAAAGCACATTCATTCCCTTCTTAATCTTCGTGAGTGTTGTAATAGGTTCCGTCCATATTTCATGCTTCTTCGCTAATCGCAAAACTTATACTTTTATGTATAGTTTATACGCTTTTGATAGCTCTATATTTTTGTTTCTGATAGCAGTAACAACGCTGGTATTATTGATATTTTTGAAGCTGTAAATAAAAGTAGCGCATATTCGAATTGTATGTTATTTAATTTCCCCTCATAACCTCATACTTGTTCACAAGTATAGATCTTTCGTTATTGCCACTTTATTGTGTCACACATAATTCAAAATCTACAGTCAGTTTTCTTCAAATTTGACACAGTTATCAGGCCTTCTGTGAATCTTTAATCTTTAGAAGGTCATCAGGTCATCATGACGTCAAGGCGCCATTTTTATTCTGGTCAATTCGTGTTTATAAATGTGCGAACACGCGTACATTATATACACCTGCCCGTTGACCAGTGCGCACAACATTTTCCAATAGTCTAAATCGTTTTAAAATACTTGTTGGTGTGTTTCAAGCCATAAGCTATAGTGTCCACACACACACACACACACAGCAACTAACGGTTTGGAGGATCAAAATTAATAACATACGCTCTCACGGTTGCGGTCATAGAAGAAAATCCCCTTCCTGATAACGGTTAGCGCTAACCGATCGGTCGTTCTCGGTTAGCTCCTGATCCGGATAATTAGAGGGGTGGCCATCAGATTGGAAGTGCTAACATTTTTGTTTTGGTAGGCATAATTTGTTTACTGGCAGACAAGGTGCATCCTCATCACCAGCTCCTGGCTCACACGGAATGAATAGATTGTTGCCACGCTGAATTTTGGATTTAAGTCCCAAATTTGACCAAAAAAATTGCAAAAATTTACACTCTTTTACCCATAATTGTATTTTGAAGCTTGAATGGAAAATACTTCTAAGTATTTAAAACAAATTTTGAGCACCAAAAAGGAACCATACCTCAGCCACAACATCTTTGGGGCTGAGGTAAGCAAGCTTTTAAAATAAACACATCAGATGCCCGGAAATGGCCTCTTAGACTTTACAAATACGTTTTCAAAGCATGAGTGTTCCCAGAATAAGCGTTGGAATTATCAAGATCTCGTACGTACGAGATAATGGCTCAAATTTATTTTTACGTTGGCAGCAATACGCTTCCATAGCAACCTAATGTGAATTAATGGGTTTTAAATGTTATGATTTTAAAGATACATTCGCCTCTCCGGCCCTTCGTTACGCCACTGATCCTTTGAATTCCGCACTTACAATTTTTGCACCCCACAAATGGGAACCACCCTACACGACCTGCCACATTTTTGCTTCCAAGTCTGTGTCAGCCCATGGTCAGTCTGATATCAGCTGCTCTGTAACATCATCGCGATAGGACCTAGTTTTCAGCCCTCGTATAGGCCTTGTATTCGCATTAATGCAAAAATAAAACCAGTGATTGAATTGACTCAGTTGATTCTGGATTTGATTACACTGACCAAAATTTACTATCCGGAACACAAAATTAAGTGGATAGATTTTAGATAGATGATAAACATCAGACAGAAAGAGGTGGATAGATAAATAGATAGATAGATAGATTTTAGAAAAAAATAATAAACATCAGACAGAAAGCGGTGGAAGAGTTTAGAAGAAGGGTATAGGCCTATACTGTCAGTGGCGTAGAAAAGTATTTATCATTGGTGGGGATAATTGAAAATTCTTGGAATTGACATAAAATTACTGATGTCGTACACACCCTTCAGTGTGAAAATGTGGCTTGCTTTGCAAGCACATATAACATCTAAGGAAAGAAGAGCTTAAATTGGTACCAGATAAAATAATTTTGTTATCAAAATTAATACATTATGCTAATTTTCATCTTTGTAAGCGCATAAGACATTGCAAATTATTTCTGTGACAGTCTTTTGAAGTGTGTAAAGCTCAACCCCTTCCCCTTGTCAATTATTGGGGGGGGGGATTGGGGGGGATATATCCCAATCCCCCGGGATCTACGCCTATGTATACTGTATGTTCAACAGTGGAGTGAGGAAAACTTCACTGTCGTAGACTTCTCTCGATGCTGATACCAATAATGATAGATAGCAGTGGCGGATCTAGAGGGAGTGAATAGGGTCGCTAGCTACCCCCTTCAGTAACCGTTGAACAAAGTATTACTCGTCTTTGTGTGTGTGTGTGTGTGTGTGTATGTGTTTCCCTTGAATACATTACGTGTTGTAAGTCTACCCTGTAAAACATACACTTTCTATTTTAAGCTTTTCAGATGCCAATTCCAAAAGAAAAAAAAAAAAAATCTCGAATAGGAGGGGATGTAATCACCCTCCTAAAACCACCCCACCATCATTTCGGTGCTTTGCACCTTGCATTATTCACGCCCCTTTGCTAAATCATAGAACCGCCACTGGATAGGGCTACTTACGATCATTTATTCTGCATTTATTTCATATGATGCCAGCATCGGGAGAGGCATTTGCGTTAAACCTTGTTTATCGTAAATCAGACAAATAATATACAAACAATATGGGCCTTGTATTTGAATCAATGCAGTGATTGATTTGACTGAGATGATATTCTGAATTTTAATACATTACATTTACTGTCGGTATGCAAACAAAGTACTAAATAGTTGTTAAATTAAAGTTTATTAAAATTCCACTGTGTAAGCTAAGGATTCGCTCGATGCTCTCATTATATATAAAATAAATAAATGTATACCTTTTATACGTAGCCCTATCCCGTTGCAGATCTATGATTTAGCAATGGGAAGTGAATAGTGCAAGGTGCGAAGCACCGAAAAAGGTGGGTGAGTGGTTTTGGGAGGGGGTGGTTTTGGGAGGGGGATTAATTATCCTCCTATTATTTAATTTTGGAAATGGCATCTGAAAAGATTAAAATAGAAAGTGTATGTTTTACGGGGTAGCCTTCTACACGTTTAATTCAAGAGAAACAAACACACACAAGATGAGTGAGCATTTGTTTAGCGGTAACCGAAGGTGGTGGCTGACCGCCCTATTTATTCCCTCTTGATCCGCCACTGCTATCTATCACTATTCATCAGCATTGAGCGAAGTCTACGACAGCGGAGTTTCCCTCAGCCCTCTGTTGAACATAGGCCTACCCTTCTCCTAATTCTTCCACCTCTGTTTGTCTGATTTTTATCATCACGTAAATTTGTGTTCCGGATAGTAAACTTAGCATAACTAAATTCAGAAGCAACTGAGCCAATAATTACTGGTTTGATTTACTAGATCCTATCGCGATAATGTACAGGAGGGCAGCTGATATAAGGCCGACCATAGCTGACATAGACTTGAAAGTAGCACATGCGCACAATTATGGGCTATAAGAAGAGTTATGAATAATTCATGATATTTTACCCAACTTTCCTACGTAAAAATAAATGTTTCCAGCAGTAAGTATCAGCATAAGATCAAGGAGGCCCTCTACATTAGTTGGGAACAACAGAACTTAAACAAGCAGCTGGCACATTTTAATATTATTACCTTAACCCTTTAGTTGCGTCATTCTGTCTTCCCATTGGTCCAAACTGCATCACCATATTCTTTTATTACTCTTTAGTAAGCTAGTGTTTAGCAGAGTTATTCTCACTCGATAATGATGGTTGAACCATTGAAACATGTCATGGTTTAAACTATTTATATAATTGGTTTCTAAGTAAGTATCCAGCTAAATATTTTGAAACTTTTATA